TTAGAATATTACTATTATTATTATTTATTTATTTATTAGTAGGTGGTTCGTATAAAAATTACAATGGACACTAACCACCGACGAGACCGCATATGTAAAGTGAGGTATCACCATGTCAGAAATTTTGTTATAAGTGGTATAGCAATTCATCATCATCATCTCAGCCAAAAGATGCCCATGGCTGGACATAGGCCTCCCACAATGCCTATAGCAAATATTACTAAGCGTCATATTTACAAAGGTTTGTCTGTGGAAGAAAATGCCTTTGGCATTAAGGCCTTATGAAATATGTTTGCAGGCTGTCTAAATAAATAAATATTTAATTTTGCAGCAATGATATTCAGGAATAAATATCATACCTATCTTTCGCACTTAAGTTTGGCGATACCTCAAGCAAGACTTATCCCCTAAACCCTTCCATGGCGTGGACAAACGGTCACAATAAATTATGGGACTAACGCCGCGGAAAGGCGAACTGATCCACTAAATATACATATCTGAAACGGGAATAGCATTTTACTGTTTTAGGAACATTGTATTTGGAATAATTGTATATCGCTACGATATACACATACATACATATTATCTGGGAATTATTGTTTTCTGAAACCGTTATTAATAAAGAAATTTGTTAGCATTTTAGTAATTAATTTTTGATTGATCTGAAATTTGACACACATTTTTAACCGACTTTAAAAACACAAAAGAGGAGACTTTCTATTCGGTTTTTTTTGTATGTTTGTTACGCGATATCTCCGTTAATTGTGGAAAGATTTTCAAAATTATTTTTGTAACCGATAGGGTATACTTCCAAAGTGGTCCCATTACCCACAAATCAGGATCTGATGATGGGATCTTAGAGAAATCGAGGGAAACCCTCAAATTTTACAGCCCCGACAACGTGTTTTAGCTTATTTCTCTAGCTATACAGGTATTTGTGTTGAGTAGTCGTTATGTCATGTTGCTGAGCTGATGATAGGAGGGTCCTTGACCATTAGGAGTTGGAAAACAGCTCTTTCAAAAATGTAATCATGGATTAACCTCGTCTTATTCTTTCAAGATATTTGTTAGGTGTTTGTGTTGGGTTACAGAGATATGTGCACATAAGAGTATTATACGTATATGAGATTAAAAAACATTTAGACAAAACAGAAATGTTTGTTACGCAATTATTTTTATGTTTGTTAACCTAAAACTCTTTCATTTGTAAACCGATTACGAAAATTCTTTTTTTATTTGGCAGGGTGTATTTCCATATATTCTTTTTTTATTTGGCAGGCTGTATATAACACTTGCATACTCCCGTGCTTAACTTATGGATGTCAAACATGGGCTTTAACAGATCAGCTATCAAATAAAATAAAAGCGTGCCAGAACAGCATCGAACGAAGTGTAATAGGATTAAGAAGAAGGGACAGAGTGGAATTGGAAACAATTAAAACAGAAACTAAATTCAAAAATGCGCATATCGTTAGTAGAAGGTTAAAATGGCGTTGGGCAGGACATATGTTACGGGATACGAAAGAAAAGTGGACAAAAATAATAACAGAGTGGTGTCCTATGGGCGACAAAAGAAATAAAGGGAGACAGTATAAACGTTGGGAAGACGACTTCAGACAAATGGCGGGCGCTAAGTGGACCCGAATAGCTAGGGATCGAACCGCATGGAAGTCCTTGGAGGAGGCCTTTGTCGAGAGACAAGCTGCTACACATAAAGCGATTACCGATATACTATAATGACCACAACGGTGTAACAAGTATAATATTAATGTAAATAGTATAACATTTAAGAAAATACTGTAGAGAGTAACAGTAATAAAGGCTCATTTTATTTTATTTATTTTATTTTTATTATTTCCATATAAGTTCCATTCAAATGTGAAGAAAAAATACCACTCCTAGTTTTGGAAAATTAAGTAATGTGGAAAACAGTATATTTTCGGGCTCAAATATAACATATTACTACCTTATCTAAATAAAGTAACGGACTTATTAAATTAAATTTGAAATAATCTACCATACTGCAGTTGGGTACTATTCATTACAGTACGTAGTGTTTTAAATATCGTACTTATCAACTCATTACAAACACATCTTACACTAGAAATGGTAAAAATATCCTTTAAAAAACGTTGAACCGACTTCAAACAATATTGACTAAGAGCACTAAAAATTTAAAAGTAAATACAACAGACTTCAAACAGACTAAAAGGCACTATTGCTGTTATAATATTACCTGATATATTGAGGATACTTATTATAGTTTTTAGGGTTCCGTACCTCAAAAGGTTCCTTATGAGATCACTCTCTTGTCCGTATGTCTGCCCGTGTGACACCAACGATTTTCTCAGGAACGGGTGGACCTAGCAAGTTGAAATTGATACCAGATACTGAAGTCTATACTCCCTATTAGGTGTATAAAAATCAAGGTCTTGAGTCAACACGATGAAAAGATATGGGCAAATTTAGATAGAAACCTATAACCTAAAGTACACTATAGGTTTTGGGTCGATAACCTATATGGTAGTTCCCGTTGTCCTAGAATAACGAAATTTGGCAAAAAGCAAGATCTTACAGCACAAATGAAGAAAATATTCCAAAAAGTTAAAAATTAATTTAAATTTTGGTACTTACAAATTTACGTAAAATGTGGGAAGATGCGGAACCCTCGGCGCACGAGTTCGACTCGCACTTGACCGGTTTTTATTTACTTAAATTTGTAATTTTTCTTTGTGTATTCAATATCATACTCATAATATGTATAAAGTGTCACACAATTTCTATCTAGAAATTAAACATAGTGTGTACATATAGTTCTCACGCCATCTTGTATCTAATCTGATGATGGAGCCAGAAGGTGTAAAGTAGAAGTTTTCAGTGGGTACTAGAAAGCAACACAAGTATGGTCTGAAATGTTTCACTTGGACGATTCTAACAATATTGGCTTTCTTAACGATGTCTGGTGATGCAGAAAGAAGACTGATAATGGAACACTTACTTATTACGACAATAGTTCTGTTGATGTTATTAAAAATCTTGTTTTAACTATATTAATGAACAAATGTAAATTGATATACACTAGACAGAGACCACACTATACCCTTTAGCATTGTGTAGAGATCTAGCTTTGCTCCAAGTAATTGTTCTAAACAATGTCGGCCGCACTTCGATAATTTGCAGTTTCTTTTTGAATAAACTTTTTGTTTTACACAACCAATTTGTAGAACAAATTGTGGTCTGCGATATTTATGGACCGACATAACCATGATACCTTCAAGAAAAGAGAGTACTCCTACGTCAAAGGCCACGCTAAGTTGCAGTCGTTCATGGGCGGCGATAGTCACTTTCTACAAAGTGACCAGTCTGCTCTTTTGCCCCCTATATCATTGAGGCGACTTCCACATACGGTGAAACGAAGAAACATACTACAGCGCCATCTAACGAAGATACACCTTACTACAGAGTAACTGCTAATCCTATATCACGATAATTAACAATTCTCTATTTACACATGCCCAACAATAACCGATGAGCTGCGGCCGCCAGCCATGATCACCTCGCGTGGACGGAGGTGTTGGAGAGATATGGCACCCGTTCCTCCACATAATATTAAACGTCACGTGAGCTCTTTCTAACGTTATTTTAAACTTTGATGTAAAATATAAGTTTATTTTTATTATATTTTTACCTAAATCAATTGTAACTTATTATCCAATCAACAACGTACTTGGTCTTTATCGTCATACTAATTATCGAACTGTGAATAAGAAATTATCGAAAGCAGTGACATGAATTTGTTTAAGGGTGTTCTAGATTTGATCAGGTACAAATGCTGCTAGTTATATAATTATTTCTTAAATCTTCTTTCTTTATTTTCTAACTTAACTCTGTTCAGAAGAGTTTTATCACTTCGATAATTTGCAGTTTCTTTTTGAATAAACTTTTTGTTTTACACAACCAATTTGTAGAACAAATTGTGGTCTGCGATATTTATGGACCGACATAACCATGATACCTTCAAGAAAAGAGAGTACTCCTACGTCAAAGGCCACGCTAAGTTGCAGTCGTTCATGGGCGGCGATAGTCACTTTCTACAAAGTGACCAGTCTGCTCTTTTGCCCCCTATATCATTGAGGCGACTTCCACATACGGTGAAACGAAGAAACATACTACAGCGCCATCTAACGAAGATACACCTTACTACAGAGTAACTGCTAATCCTATATCACGATAATTAACAATTCTCTATTTACACATGCCCAACAATAACCGATGAGCTGCGGCCGCCAGCCATGATCACCTCGCGTGGACGGAGGTGTTGGAGAGATATGGCACCCGTTCCTCCACATAATATTAAACGTCACGTGAGCTCTTTCTAACGTTATTTTAAACTTTGATGTAAAATATAAGTTTATTTTTATTATATTTTTACCTAAATCAATTGTAACTTATTATCCAATCAACAACGTACTTGGTCTTTATCGTCATACTAATTATCGAACTGTGAATAAGAAATTATCGAAAGCAGTGACATGAATTTGTTTAAGGGTGTTCTAGATTTGATCAGGTACAAATGCTGCTAGTTATATAATTATTTCTTAAATCTTCTTTCTTTATTTTCTAACTTAACTCTGTTCAGAAGAGTTTTATCAAACAGAAAAAATGGAAATCCTCTTGCTTAGAACTTGTTGCAACAAAAATTTGGTTTTTAAGTGGCCTTTATTTATTCAGCCATGTTGCCATGCAGAAACTTTTTGCAGCCATTAAACAAAATGGAACAAAATTTGACGTTAGAATATATATTTGTTGTCATGAATGGCTAACTGTCATGTCACAAAACCATGTTTCAATATTTTTATTTAATATCTTTGCTACTATGTATAAAATTAGTTTTTTCATATGAATATTTAGATGATACTCCGGGTAGAGCTTATCATAGCTTTGGTAAGAATTTTAGAAAAGTAAGCACGCCAGGGAAAAGAAAAGATAGGAGGCATTCGATGCGTCAGGAGTATGCTTATGATAAGAATCCGGTGGAATTTGATGTAGCCAGTTTCGTCCAACCCGATGAAGATACGATTACCGATGAAGAAACCACCAGGCGACGAAATCAAAGAAGGTATGACCTTAAAACTTATGCGAACCTCTTTACCCAAGTCCCAGTGTCCCTGATTGCATTTGCTCTTTTATGTGTTCTTGTTTGGGTTTCCTCGACAAAGTGTGTCAAGAATAAAAATGTTATTAATGTCAAACGAAAATGTCATGACTTCTATTTCCTGTTTGACTGTTAGCAGTTCATATACTGTGATTATAAGGTAACTTTAGTTTTGTACCTTGACTTTGAGATTAATCACACCACGCTTTTCTTTACTTTCAGACGACGCATTTCAAAGAACAATGACTACAACTCAGTTTTTGGGCTGAACATGGATGAAGGAAATAGCGGAGATGTAAATCAAGATTACCTTAGCCTTGGGGATCCGCCAGCGAAACTCAATCCAACCTTGCTGGACCTCGGTCCAACTGTATTAAAAGACTCATTGAACATAAAGAAATTTAAAATGAATGCAATGGATGAATCAAATGCGAAATATACCCGTGACAATATCAAGAATCAAATTGTCATGCCAGAACCAAATCCTGCACATAATCCACAGAAGAAATGGTAAGTTTATTTAAATTATTTAAAGTTAAGTATTTCCGAAAGGCTCTTTTAATATCAGCGATGGGTCCACGGTAGCAGACAGTGATTATAAAGATACGGAAAGTATTAGTGTAATACGCTCTTAGTTAAGGATTATGCAGTCAATTCCATTCCGCTTTCTAGAAGTTTTCTTCATATCTAAAAATGATAAATTGCCATTGTTCTAATATTATACCTTAGCAAACCAATGGATTTTCTTTTAAAAAAGAAAACAATTACATTTAACTTGGTATTAAACTTTACAATTATTTAATTATTTAGCCGTGTAGCAGACTAAACTATTGAAAACTATATAAATTAATTCCCTTTAAGCTGGGCATTTAATGTAGCAGTTTACATATATAAGTTGCCGGTGATATATAACTCTTTTCTCTAAATTTCATTATATTACTTTTCTACTCTAATTCAAAGGCAGCTCCATCAGACTGATATTAACATAAAATTAGTAATAAGGGCTTTAAAATCTTATATATTCCTCTAAGAAATCAAACATTAACAAATCCTGTTTCAAGCATAAAATAAGTCAAACAAAGTCTTTGCCTTGACAACGGTTACAAAATTAAATAAGACATCTATTTCTTTCTGTTAAGGAATAATTGAAATGATTGAAACCGACTATTAAAAGCACGGATAATAATTCACTAATGTTTAATACCAATGTTTCGGGTCATGACCGATCGTAAAGAGGAGCCTTCAGAAATTTTATTATTACCGTTTAAAGTACATTCTCGCTTTGATATGTTCCAGCGTTTTCAAAAGTATAAAGTTCCCGTTTTTTTCCCATAACAAAACGGAATCCTTAAAACCAAAGAAAAACAAGAAACGAAGGTTATTTGGCTTCAACTCCGTCAAAAAAAGTGAAAGTGAAGTCCTTTCTGGTAAAGACAAGATGGAAATTAATCCCATAAATCAGTTTAAGATTAAAAGATCATACCAAGTCATAGTGTGCCCTGCTTGTAAAAAGAAATATATTTCCAATCTAAGATACAAGAAAACGCCAGATAAAATTATACATAATAGTAGGCAGTTCTACCAGAAACAGTCAGATGAACAAGTCACGGAAGACATAAATAGAAATACAAAATACTATTACGACGATTCTGAAAAAGTTATAAAAACGGATAGGAGTAAAAGGCAAGATTTAGATAAATATGATAAAGACAGACAGCTTAAGCTATTGGATGAAATTCAGCGGAAGGTTGATAGCGTTAACGTAACTATACCTAAGTTTAATAGGGTTTCTACACAATGATAGGTCGTCTTGTTCAATGTATTATTTTAGAATAGTGCTATTTTACATTGTAATAAAAGTTACGGTTTTTCTTAGCCTGTTTTATTAATATGTTTTGGGTAGTTCTTATTACAGTTTATCGGCTCCACATGCGTTTTGATTGTTACTTTAAGTCCATAAACATAACACGTAAACACACTATAAATCCATTGCAATTATTTTTTTTGCTTAAAATGTTATGATTTTTAAAAAACGTGTTTTGTATTGTGTTGAATGCCACCGGAAATATGTAAACTGTTATTTATTTGCCCAGTTTGAGAGGCGGTTTTTATGATAGTAAGTACGTACCTTTTCTTTGAAATATTAAGTTTTTACCACTCAGTATGTTAGACTTCAAAATTAACATTATAATTTTGAAATAAATCGAGAATATTAACATATTTGTTGCAAACTAGATATACCAATTAGGCCGTCATAAATTTAAATAAGATATTGCGTAATGTATCCTAAAATGGTTTTTATATGTTCCAGCATTTTGAAAAGCTTAAAGCTTCCATTTTTCCCCCGCTCTAACAAAACTGAGTCTTTAAAGCCAAAGAAAACCAGAAAGAGAAAGTTGTTTTGTTTCAAATGCTCAAAGGAAAAATCTAAAGACAAATTTGAACAAAACGGGGTTCAAGTAGACTTGATACCAGAAAATAAGAAAATTAAGAGGTCTTACGAGGAAAACATGTGTCCAGCTTGTAAAAAGAAATTCATCACTTTCGAGTCGAACGAAAATAGCAAACCTTGGAATAAGAAATGGCACAATCGGCTAATAAGTGAAAAATGTTATGATACAAATGTGAAAGAATATCCTAGAACAGATACAAATAAATACACAAAGTTCAACTCTGATGACTTTGGAGATGATACAGATGATAATCAAAGAAATAAAAGAGAAGAGCCAGGAATCTTGATGAGGAGAGAATTAGATGTGATTCAGCAAATGATTGAACACGATGACGTCCGTTTACCTTCCAGTGCAAAGACTACGGGACCGCCGCCGGAATAAGCACATTTTTTCTTAAAATATTATGTTAATTTTAGAGTCATACATTAGAATAATATATTTTTTATGTAATTACGCTTTGTTTTAAATTACTACTAGTTTAAAAACAACATTCATTGTTATAACGCAGAATAAAGAAAGAACCAATGCAGTTAGCCCATCACATCAGTTTACGACCGCTTGAATTATAACTAACAGGCAGGATGGAGTCCGTGTGGTGACGGATTAAGAATACAAATTGTCACCACCCCAATTCATCCCGTGGGTGTCGTAAGAGCCGACTAAGGGAGCAAACTAAGCAGGACAACAGCACTGCAAAGAGAAGGAAAACTTGAAACAAACCCTATACCAACCCGTCTGGCCAGCGTGGTATAGTAGGCCAAAACCTCCTTTCTAAGGAGAGGCCTATGTCCAGCAGTGGACTGGTATAGGCTGTAGATGATGAGATGAGGCAGGATGGAAGAGTTTGAATAATGTTGGAAATAGACGAGATCAAGTTCAAGTATGAGAGTCACTGCAGGCAGAATAATGCTAAGAGAGATAAGAATAATGCTATGCTACAATTATTATTGTAGCATAGCATTATTCTTGCAATTACAATTACAATTATTGTTGCTTAATACTAAGTCTGATCTAAGCCCTGTAGATTTGATCGATGAGTTTAGATTGAACGTAGAAAATGTCTAAATTGTTGAGCAGTAACGATTCGGTCAACTACATACTTGACTGATATCGCATCATTGAGCAACATGTTTATAAAAAGTATTACCAGAGTTAAAAAAAAATCTCAGGTTTGCCCAATTTAGGTAAATCATAAAGGCATAATCATGTGAATATAATTTAATTTAATCTAAAATCTTCACTCCTCGTTGCACATGCCATATATATCTCTTCAGTAGTATAAGGACCATCTGGAAGTAAAAATAAGTTATCAGTTTAACGTAGCTATTTTTTCAGTTGGCATTTGAAACTCATCAAGGGGATCTCAATGTAGCTTAGTCAGGAGCAAGCAGAATAGAGCAAAAAATGTTATGTTTTGTATAGGTTTTAAATAATTATATGGGCTCCGATAACCTCACTCACTCAGTGAAAGGCAACGAAAGAATTGCTTAACACCGGTTTTCTGGGAGGCCGTGGTATCACTCAAGTCGAGCCGGCCCTTTCGTGCCGAAGCATGGCTCTCCCACGGCAAACGCACGCATGTATTTATTATTTAATTTTATCAGCCCTAAATGAGTAAGTGCATATTCTTACCAATGTGAAACCATTCCGTGCTAGGTATACCGACTTCTTGCCTCGCTGATACAATAGCTTCTCTGATGGCGATTGGTATTGACACCGCCATGCACATTGGCGACTCGCTACATGCTACGAAAAATGACATTAATTGACAGGCTTCATTTATATTATTTAAAAAAAGAAAAAGAAAAGGAGGCCTATGTCCAGCAGTGGACTATTATAGGCTGTTGATGTGTTGTGGTGTGTGATGTGATTTATATTATTTTTAGTATAGTAGTATAAACTACCATGTTTTTGTATTAAATTACTATGATAGCTTACTCGGATAATATATGCACCATCAGAAAAAATTAGTCATATTTTTATGTAAAGTTTTTATTTACGTTTGTATTTGTTTAAATTAATGCCCTATTTTCTCGCGAACACTTTTTTTTACTATTATGAGTAGCTCATACTCAGTATAACAGACAAGAAATTCTTCTAGGATTAGTTTGCGTCTGTCTATTTGTTTGCTTGTTTAGTTTGTTTGTTTGTTTGTGCTTTGTTTATTTTGATTTTTTTTAGGATTTTACCAATCCTAGGTATCTTTCAGGAAGAATATTTCTATTTGTGAACATAAAAGGAACGTGTCATCAATAGATTATGTGTGGTAGTACGTATATTTGTTTAAAGGGTATTATTTTTGCTAAGCTATAGTAAAAGTTTTATTGCATTTCTGTGCTGAATTTAAAATTTATCTTCATCAGTTTAAAAAGAAGAGTTACCTTTAGACCCAAACAGAATTTTATTAGAATAAGAGTTTTTTCTAAAGTACACTCTGAAATCTTGGGGTATATCTCTTGCTTGTGGTACATAATAATTCCAAGTACGATCTGTGAGCAGTTCTCCCGTCTTTTTGTCATAGACCAGCTTTTCACTCGTCCAATAACCAATGCCCATAACAAATGCACCTTCCACCTAAAATAAGATCAGAAATCACATATTCATACCCATTTATTAAGTATGATCCCTATAGCTAATAAATTGTATAAAGATAAACGACCCCGACATCCATAAAAATTGTTGTAAGATTACGTGGGTATCTTTTTAAATGATGGGTAGTCTACATGATTAAAAAAATCAAAATCCCGACTGCAAAAAGACAAAATGTTCGTTACAGCACGAGGTCCGTCACAAACATGGCCCATTTTTATACTATCAAAATCTTTTTCAACCAATTTATTATTCCTTACTAAATTTAAATTTATAATAGATATTTTTTTATAATCCGCTTTTAATTTTCTTGGTTTTGGTACCCTACACGATAGGTTTGGTAATTTTTATCTTTATTAACCTATTAGGTAGGTACTATCTTGCGCCAAAAGCTGCCATTTCGTTTTTTATTTTAAAAAGCCATCAAAGGACACTTGGGATTTTCAGACGTATAAATACCTTATCTGCCAAAATCCATCCAGTCATTTGGAAGATACGAGGTAAGAAAAAAATTTACAAACAAACACAAGATACGCGAGATAAACTTAACCTCAAACCTTAACCTTAAACTGAAAATAAAGTATCACCGACAGTAACACTTTAAAACGCCCAATTCATAATGACTGTAATTTAGACTCTTCCACTCAACAAAATTTAATTTTCCACTCTTAGAGATGGCATTTCTTTTTTTAATTTGAATAAAGAAACAGAAAGTATATCCTTTCAAAAAGTAAGAATTTTTCAATCAATTATTGCAATCTGTTATTTGTGTTTTAATGGTTAAAATTAGTTCAACCAAAACTTAAGGTAATATTCAACATAGAAAGATGAAATATATATTCAAGTACTCCATGAACTTACTTGACCGACATCAAGATCTGGATTTATACTTTTACCAACATCTTGTAAGATGTCAACTCTTAATATTTCGTGTTCTCCAGTCAGTACATCTATTTCTACTTCAGCTACCGTTACTCCATATACCTGATAGTACTGCATGTCATCCTTATTTACGAAACCATGTACCTGAAGATCTAGCGACATTTCAAAGCTGTTTTGAATTAGTTCTTCCCAAGTTGGGTTGTTTAATTTGCGCCTTATCGGTTCCAGTCTCGCCAATAGTTCTTCGCAACACCTTTCTACAGCAATTATTATGTTCTGCGTACTTATACTCCCACCGGTAACAGCTGAATTAGGGGACACCGTAGTATTGTTCTCTTTTACAATAATCATTTCTATGGGTATTTTTAACATATAAGCAGCTATTTGAGATACTTTTGTATTTATTCCTTGTCCGATCTCAACACCGCCGTGAGATATAATAACAGTTCCATCTCCTTGGAATACTGAAAGGCTTACATCAAAGTATCGTGGTTGTATGTGTTGCCATTTTAGAAAAACGAATCTTATACCTCTTTTCTTCCATCTGTTTTGAGAATTGTAGTTATTTACTTCTGTTCTTCTTCTCGTATATTCAGAATTATATTTCAATGTTTCAAACATCTCTTTCAACTCAATATCCTGTGGATCTAAATTTGTTAATCGAAGTTGTGCTGGATCTATTGATGATGTATAGGATAGTTGCTCCATCATCATTTCAACCATGGCTATATTTTCGAAAGTGCCTGAAATTACATAGTGAAAATAATATTTCAGTGTTTATTAATTTTCGGTGATTTAAAATTGAAACCAAACTATTTATGCAGTAAGATCAAGTTTTGAATGCCTGATTTTAGAAATAGGAAAGTTTTACACATCACATATTATTATTTCGACCGACCGACCGATGGCGGTATATCCATCCCAATAGGCGTAGCTAAATACAACAGGCCGGTGACGGGCAGCAGCGTTACCGGTGCGACAAGCTACGCCCTGCGATCGCCAACCCGCCTGCCCAGCGTGGCGATTATGGGCAAACCCCTCCCATGCAGACGCAACAAAGGCCACGGCCCCCAGTTCCCGGCGGCCCCGCTATTCCTGGTCATGGTGGCGACCACGGTAAAGGCGGGGCAGGGGGTGCGAAGAATCTCCGGGCTACGGGAGGCCACCACAACCGACTGACCCTGGCTACGTACAACGGACGCACGCTACGGCTAGACTCGCATCTGGCGCAACTTGAGGTGGAACTTGGGAAGATTAGGTGGCATATCCTAGGGCTATGTGAAGTCCGAAGAGAGGGGGAGGACACCATAACCCTCGAGTCAGGCCACCTAATGTACTTCCGCGAGGGAGACCAACAATCCCAAGGTGGGGTTGGGTTTCTGGTAAATAAGTCCCTATCTGACAACGTTGTGGAAATTTCCAGTGTGTCGAACAGGGTAGCGTACCTCATTATCAAGCTCACCGAGAGGTATAGCCTCAAGGTTGTGCAAGTGTACGCACCGACCTCGGCACATTCGGACGACGAGGTGGAGGATATGTACAATGACATATCGAGGGCCCTCCACTTCACAACTAAGACCCACTACAACGTTGTTATGGGTGACTTCAACGCTAAAGTGGGAGTACAGAATTGCGGCGAATCGGTAGTAGGATCCCATGGATTTGGAAGCAGGAATCATAGGGGGCAAATGCTGGTCAACTTCCTCGAACGGGAGGGGCTGTTTTTGATGAATTCTTTCTTCAAGAAACAGCCCCAAAGGAAGTGGACGTGGCAAAGCCCCGACGCTATGACCAGAAATGAGATCGATTTCATCATGACGGATAGAAAGCACATATTCAGAGACGTCTCAGTGATCAATAGGTTTAATACCGGTAGTGATCACCGACTTGTCCGGGGCTCTCTGAATATCAACTTTAAGGCGGAACGTGTCTGTTTGATGAAATCCAGGCTCCGACCAACTCGGCTCCAAGCCATGACAGGATCTGAAACGTTCCAGTCAAAACTGGAAAACCGATTCGCTGCCGTGGAAACCACGATCGACGTAAACCAGAACCTCAAAAATGTGGTTCAGATCCTCAGGGAAGAAGGTATGAGATTTTGTGAAATGCAGCGTAAGGGCAGGAAGTCGAAGCTTTCAGAAAGGACCCTAGGGCTGATGAAGAAACGACGTGAAAACCCACCTGTCACTGTGTCGGCAAAGCGGACTCTAAACCGAGAGATCAGTAAACTCGTACGACACGACCTCCGGTGCTCCAATACTCTTTCAATTGAAAGAGCGATCGAGCAAAATCGGGGGTCAAAAGTGTTCGTACAATCTCTTGGAAGAAGCCACCTGACAAAGTTGACTACAGAAAGTGGAGAAGTCGTTGCTTCGAAGCCGGCAGTCCTTTTGGAAGTGGAAAGCTTCTATGGCCGGTTATACGCTTCGCATGCATCTCGACCTGATCCCGAAAATGAGGACTCTAGAGCCACATTAACACGTCACTACACCGAAGACCTGCCAGAAGTTAGCATTGACGAAATCGAGATGGCTCTTGGACAGCTGAAAAATGGAAAAGCCCCTGGAGAGGATGGCGTTACAACAGAGCTGCTGAAGGCCGGGGGTAAACCCGTACTAAGGGAGCTCCAAAAGCTCTTCAACGCTGTCCTGTTTGAAGGGAGAACTCCAGAAGCGTGGAGTAGGAGTGTGGTCGTCTTGTTCTTCAAAAAGGGTGACAAGACCAGGTTGAAGAACTATCGACCCATATCCCTTCTAAGCCACGTCTACAAGCTGTTTTCGAGAGTCATCACGAACCGTCTTGCGCGAAGACTCGACGAATTCCAACCACCGGAGCAAGCTGGGTTTCGGAGCGGATATGGCACCATAGACCACATCCACACAGTGCGGCAGATTATACAGAAGACCGAAGAATATAATCAGCCCCTGTGTCTAGCATTCGTGGACTATGAGAAAGCCTTTGACTCGATCGAGATCTGGTCTGTTCTGGAGTCCCTGCAGCGTTGCCAAGTAGATTGGCGATACATCAAAGTGATGAGATGTCTCTACGAAGCCGCCACCATGTCCGTCCAAGTACAGAATCAGCAAACAAGGCCCGTACCATTGCATCGAGGAGTGAGACAAGGGGACGTTATTTCCCCGAAATTGTTCACAAATGCAATGGAGGACATGTTCAAGACGCTGCACTGGAAAGGGTGTGGCATCAATATCAATGGCGAATACATCTCTCACTTGCGATTTGCAGATGACATCGTCATCATGGCAGAGACGTTGCAGGACCTACAGCAAATGCTGAATGACTTAGCTGACACTTCTGTACGCATCGGCCTACGGATGAACTTGGATAAAACCAAGGTCATGTTCAACAAACATGTACTACCGGAACCGATTGCGGTACACGGTGCCGTTCTCGAAGTTGTTCAAAATTATGTGTACCTCGGGCAGACATTGCAGTTAGGTAGAAACAACTTCGAGGACGAGGTGAACAGAAGAATTCGGTTGGGTTGGGCAGCGTTTGGGAAGCTACGTCGAGTCTTCTCATCGTCGATCCCACAGTGCCTTAAGACGAAAGTCTTTAATGAGTGCGTCCTACCCGTCATGACATACGGAGCTGAAACGTGGACACTTACGGTACGGCTGGTCCACAAGTTCAAAGTCGCTCAACGTGCTATGGAAAGGGCTATGCTCGGCGTTTCTCTAAGGGATCGCATCAGAAATGAGGTGATCCGGCAGAGAACTAAGGTCACCGACATAGCGTACCGGATCAGCAAGTTGAAGTGGCAGTGGGCTGGCCATATTAGCCGCAGAACCGATAACCGTTGGGGAAAACGAGTTCTTGAGTGGAGACCGCGTCTCGGCAAACGTAGTGTAGGACGCCCACAGGCCAGGTGGAGTGACGATTTGCGCAAGATGGCTGGCAGGAGCTGGATGCGAGAAGCCCAAAATCGATCTAAGTGGCGTGCAATGGGAGAGGCCTATGTCCAGCAGTGGACTGCGATAGGCTGATGATGATGATGATGATGATGATGATATTATTATTTAAGTTGTCTCAAATTATTTTTATTATATTTTAATACAATATTCAATTCATACCTAATTAGTTTATCTCTTACCTGGTGATCTAAACCAAGTATTCTTTGCCGTATCAGTAATAGTGTTGTAACATTTATAGTTCCAAGTTGAAGCGTTGTAACAATTGTGGTAAACTTTACTTCCGAACTCTGTTAAATTCTCATTGACTGCGTATCCATTGTCTTCATATATCGTGTAGTTTACGTATTGAAAAGCACCTGATTTGTTAACGCCTATCTATATATAGAAAATCTTTTCATTAGTATGAAAACAATATGTAACTACTAGGGATGATAGTTTATATAAGATACCAGCTATACCCTGTGAATTGACCAGAAATGAAGAACGAAATATAGTGGGCCAAAACCTGACCTGTCCTTAGAAAGGCTAAGGACAGGTCTGTGTCCAGCAGTGGACTAGTAAAGGTGTTGATGATGATGATGAACAACGAAACTGATGTGAAAAATACATTAAAAAAATCTTTGAAACGGGTTTGAAACGGAAACACGATATGCGTGTAGAAATTCGAGATCAATTGAAGCAGAACTTCGAGTTTTTGAATCGTACACAAACAATTTTTATTTCAATAGAAATGTAATAAAAGGCTCAGGCTCGGCGGAATCTAATTCCTAAAGCGCCCGGTCGACAGCCATAGGCTCGCACCTACTACATGAGACTGAAATTGTAAAATAATTTCTTATTTAATAATGTGGGTTTTTAATATGGTCCTAGTTACCCCTTCAGGGCAATATAGGCGTGAATGTATATCTTTTTTAATTTTTTTATTCTCTTAGAAAAAGCTATGCAGAATATTGACTTCAAAGTTATGCTTGTCTTTCTAATCCACACTTATGGTTTAGGCGTATCGATTTTCAAAATTCCTTCACCATTGGAATACTATATTGTATCAGCCAGTTACATTAATTTTTACCGCGATAACCAACATATACGCGGCTCGCCACAGGAAAAAGCTAGTAATAACATTTTTGTACATACCTCATAATCAGTAGAACATGGTAACCTCTTTCCTTGTGACCTAGTATTTGTTTCCAGGTTCATAATAATACGACACGGGCGGTTTAGTTTCGTAGCGACTAGGCTAGCAGCTACTGCGGTTTGTATACTTCGAGATATCTTAATACCGTACGAGCCACCTAGACGGCGAACGTGGACGTCTATCCTGTAACAATTATATATCAAGTACTAGCTGACCCGGCAAACGTTGTATTGCAAAACAAAAAAAAATTAGGGATGGGTCACCCTTACCATTTAGGGGTATGAAAAATAGATGTTGGCCGATTCTCAGACCTACCCGATGTGCACACAAAATTTCATGAGAATCGGTCAAGCCGTTTCGGAGGAGTACGGGAACGAACATTGTGACACGAGAATTTTATATACAAAGATTTGTTACTTTAGAAATACAGGAGAAAAGTTTTTTTTACTTTGCTTATTGCATCGTTTGGGTGTTTTAGTGGAGCTTAAATATATGTTAAGCGTCCGTGTGGTGACGGATTGATTAGATTCTTTTTAATAAGTTAGTTACGAGGTTACCGGGTAATTTTTGTTTACTCGAAAGGCGATAACGCATTTATTTATTTATATTTATTTATGTCTCTGGAGTTCCAAATATCCGTGGCTAGTGTTACCTGCTTACCATTAGATAAACCGTGTGCTTATTTGCCTCCATTACCACAAAAAAAACTATTTGAAATCTATTAAAATGAAATATTTTCATTGCAGTTAGACCATCCGTATTAATACTAATACCTATACTAATAATATTTTAAATGCAAAAGTGTGTGTCCGTTACCTCTTCACGCTTACACCGCTGAACCAATTTCAATGAAATTTGGTGGGGAGATAGTTCGAGTCGGGACTCGGGAAAGGATATAAGATAGTTTTTATTATATAGATCGTCCTTTAAGGGAATGAAAATGAGACTGGGAGTTGAATTTTGAATTGAGATCAATAACCGCTGTTTCGACTTAATTGAAATTTGGTATGGAGATAGTTTGATTCTTCAGGAAGGACATACTCGCGGGCAGAGCCAAGGCGAAAAGCTAATATTACAAAAAAATTGTTAAAACCAGTTTTGACTAAATAATATTAGTTTACCTGCTTTGATCCAACTTCAGAGCACGTGATATCATTAATTGCATTGCGCCTAACCATTGTGATGTGGCATACACAGCTATACCTTCTTCAATAGGTTTAGTAACACATACGAGTGTTTCTATTGAAAAGTGTTGTTGTCCGTATATCGTGTTACCACCTGTTAAAACTCTGTTTACATCACACCCTTTATCAGTAGCTTTGACTTCTTTATACAACATATTCCGCTTAGGATCCAGTTTAGCTTCTTTTACATCAATTACAGGATTCTGAATATTTGTGTATTGAATTTTAACTAGTTTCGTTGCTGTATCAGCTGTACTTTGTGTATCAGCAACAATAAGAGCTAAAGGTTGGTTGTAATATTTAACGTCACCACTGCATAAAACTTCTTCGTTTATACTGTACACAGGGTCATCTATAGGAGTAAAAGAATTTAGACCAGGAATATCTTTTGCAGTGTAATATGTTATTACTCCAGGATATTTCTGAAAATATAAGTATATTTGAATTCCATCTTCGAATTTCTTATGCGTGCGTACATTCTACTGTAGAAGAATCATGGTTCGATACAAAACGAGCAAGCTAGACCGGAGTAAAACCACGGCCTCACAGAACACCCATGTGAGTGAGTGAGGTCACCCTGGTCCAACCCTCCCTCCCCCTGAACCTAGGGCGGAGGGGACTCAAAGGGCGGTAAAGCTCTTCTGACTCTTTAGTTGCAGGTGTCCCCGTCTGCTCGTTTGCCTTCCCCCCCTATGCCATATAAACATCAATAGTGGATACCACAGGGAAGTACACTAGGCCCTTTCCTGTTTATCATCTACATCAATGACTTTCCAACCGCTACAAAATTTCCTATGGTACTGTTTGCCGATGATAGCACCGTCGTATTTAATAACGATAATATTAATACCACCAGTTCGGTAATCGAAGAGAATATTATGTCTCTGGTGGGATGGCTTGATTTGAATAATCTTAAAATTAATTTTAGTAAAACGACAATTATGAATTTTGGACAAAAAGAAAATAATACGAAGGATATAAACATTAAATACGACAATAAAAGTATTACTGACATCAAAGTAGCACCATTCTTGGGTTTGCAAATTGAAAGTACTCTCAAAAAATATACAGTCATTTAAAAATAAATTGAAAGAATTAAAAAAAAATAAAGCTTATTACTCTGTTGACGAATATTTCCATGACAAAATAATGTAATACATAGTATTATATAGAAATATTTTAATATTGGCGTGCTAATAATAATTTAAAAATTGACATACAGAAAAATTATTATGTAATTACTCGGACTTAATATTTGTAGACGCATAAATTGTCTTTTCTTCTTTATTTTGTGATGTATTTTAAATGTAATTATTATTTTCTCGATTTATTATTTGTACACCATGTAATGCGGTAGGATGTAGTGGAACTTTAACATAACATTTAAGATCTGTAACTAACCTATATTCCACAAATAAAGTATTATGAATTATTATTTTCATTATATTTATTTCTTACCAGGGCCTCCGTAGCATCTATGCTTGATATATGGCCCTTTCCAATGGTACTGAGTACAAAAGCTGCATACACTTCCTTTGGAAAGGTCGGAATATCATCGGTATACATTGCTTCACCAGCGCATTGGATCTGAAAAAGATGAACACATTGCAATCATCTCACACATTTTTAATAATTACGTTTTTCAAATTTCGTCTAGATGAATAATAATTAATTTTGTTTGTTGACGGAAGGAAATAAAAAGAAGGAACATCACACAGTATGTGGTATAAAGACTTTAATTACAGCCCTGACCGGTAGACTAAACTAGGTTAGACTGAGACAGATACCCTTATTTTTTTACTAAATAATGTAGATTTATTCAATTTTTTTTTTGTTTTAGGTAAATACGAGTATTAAATACCAAATCATTTATTGATCGAACATACATACATGATATCTAATATGAATACAAAATTTGTATAGTAGGATTGTTTACAATATTTTAAACGAGAGTGCAGTTTCTTACACTGTCTAGATTCCAATAAAGACTTTAATGATGTAAGTCGGTATGTAAAGTCATAAGCTTCTGATCTTAACCAATCTGTTTATAATGTTGCAGATACAGATAGTAACATATCTGATAGATTTGTTATCGTATTCAAAAGAATGATCGAGCGATAAAACAAAAAGTTATCTTGATCATCACATTAAGATTAAAAGAACAATCTGGAGTACAAATTACAATACAAATTAATTTGCTTACCAAACCTTCCATTTTTGGGATTGGTTGATTAAGTGGCCAAGTATTACGATCTGTGTCATATACTTGGCTACCTTCAGACACTGGTCGAATGTCGTGGAGATTGATCAAACCAGATTTAAAACGAGGATGAATAATTTCATTTGGACAGAGTTTAAGTAGGCCCTAAAAGTAAAACATAAGACATAATTAATTTATAACATAGTTAAAATAAATATTATTAGCTAAAACTTACAATCACGTCAACAGCCTATAACAGTCCACTGTTGGACATAGGCCACTCCTTAGAAAGTAGGTTTTGTCCTACCACGCTGGCCAGACGGGTTGGTTTAGGGCTTGTTTGAAGTTTTCCTTCTCTTTGCAGTGCTGTTGTCCTGCGTAGCTTGCTCGCTTAGTCGGCTCTTACGACACCCACGGGATGAATAGGTGTGGTGACATTCCGTATAAACTTACAATAAATTATGTAAAAATAGAAAAAAAAAACCTTGAACACATCCTTTTTTTCTGGTAAAATGGAATACAATGCATTAAAATAAAACAATAGTCATGGTACCTTAAAAAACAATCCCAATGCCAATTTTTTTCTGTAAGCCGTTGAAGGTTCGGGTGGGTTACTCTCCACAATCAATTCAGATTCAAGAACTTTAAGGGCTACTTGCAAATTCTCATTTGTAAATAATGATTTTCCTATTAAAAATAATTCTGTCTCTGATGCTCTTATAAATTTAGCCGAAAGACCCCCAAATACTATTCTAGCTTGCTGTACAATATTTCTATCATTTAACTCGTAAAAAAACCCAGCATTAACTATTGCATGTGCGTTTTGGGAGCGGGGCATTATCTGAAAAACAGAATTAACATGTTTGCATTTATCAGTCATACAATTTAACGTTTTAACTGCGAAATTTTGACGGTTACGTACTATTTTATTTTACGAGTTTTTATTGACATAGAAATATGAACTAAATTTTTGTTTAAAACGATGAGCATGATATTTTGCAAATTCATGTATGTTTTAAAATAATGTTCTTGAACATGACTTAAGAGAAGTAGGTATCCAAGTTAAGCACGTAAGTAATTCGATTCTGGTTAGGATAGCAGCAGTATGCAACCATGCGTGGAAGAACGTAAATATGTATACTGTGTGATTACCTCAGACAATTTTTCAGAAGAGTATAATGATAGGATAATGCGAAACTCTTTAAAGCTCGAAGTTGCGAGTTGGCACACATTGACAACACAACATTAAACTCTCTGTACCAAATTAAAAGTGTACATTGGTGCTAATGAAAAGAGGTAAAAATAGTACTCCATGAAGGCTGCCGATAAATAAAGAAACAATTTATTCTGCACAGTAAAGTGCTAAAAGATCTATTTATACATACCGTTCGCGTTTCAGGTCATTAAATAAAAATATATATTACCTTAAAAGTAACCAATTTATACTTGCTGTTTAATGGTGGCAGCAGTACATTCAAAATTATACTTCCTTTCATATTGAGCTGAAGGAATTTCTGCATTGTAACGATTTGTGTTACTGCGTTTAAATTAACTGAAAAAGTATTCGACATTATAATTTAATTAATTATCCGCATTCACAGATCCGAGGGAGATATTTTTATGTAATTTTTTTTAAAAGACATTTCCCGTATAGTGTCGCGTTAGACTTTGCAAAAATACATGAAAAGAACACAAAGAACATCCACTCAGGATAATAATTTGTGGATTACACAAAGGGATCGAACCCACCCAGAAGGAAGCGGCGAGGTGACCGCTTAAACCACTACGCCATCCGTGCAGTCATGTATATGTTTTTAACTAATGTTTTGGTATTTTTCAAATTATGTTATTTTGATCTCAAAGGTTAACTGCTCCAAATCTGATTGCAGATGTGACCACCAGACCTTGCACCTACCGACTATTATTTTTTCCAAAATTAAGACTACTTTTTAGTGGGTATAAAATTCAACTCCCGAGAGGCAGTACAAAATGCCTTTGAAGAGTTTGTTGCCTCCCGTCCAGCTGATTTTTCCAAGAAACGGCATCAATAAACTGCTAATGCGTTGGCAAAGATGCGTCGATTGCATGGGTGATTACTTCGAATAACAGAAATAAAAAAGTTTACAAAATAAGTACTTTCACTTATTGCATACAAAACGGCAATTTCATAGGTAAAGACCTATTATGAGCGATAGCTCATTCGATTTGGAATGACGTCAAGAAATATGTATCGAAATTATGTATTAGCACATTAAAATTCCGATTCCCGATTCCGACTCCCGGAACTCTATCCCTATTATTTATAATTTTAATTTAACACCGAAAATAGGGCTCCGCCCAGCCGTAACGACATAGGCGCACTATCGCTAAAGACTACTATCGCTAAAACTATCGAAAAAAATATTTTTTTTTAGTAACAAATATTTATTTAAAAATTTGAATTAATTATGATATCATCTAGACACCTGAAAGAATAAATCACCGTTTTAAAAAATATAGGTCAATTTTAACATAAAATAAAAGTAAAAAAAAATGCAATATTTAAATAAAAATTCCACGTTCACGGCCACGTTTAGAATGCGTATAACGCATCGTTTAATGCATAGTATAACGCACACACATATGTATTAATAATGAATGTCATTTGTTATTATAAACGTGTTGCTTTATATCAGGAAGCTATTTCGACATTTTAATATAACTTACGAAAATTTAATTCTTCAAACATAGAATATCCTACTTCGTGCGATCCACAAATTATTGTTCTGAGTCCGGGTGTTCTTTGTCTATGTTTCATGAATGTTTGACCTCCGCGACATAGAAAATATTCCTAGTGTAGAAGTAAAGTAAACAAAGAAAAAAACTAATATCAGTGTTAGTTTAAAAAGATGCCATTATAGTTATAACCATATCTTGGCGTTACGCAGATATTTGGCTTCACTTTGCATTCTCTATCGCATATAATATGGAGAGTGCTCCGAGGAATTGTTCAGACTAATACCAGCCGCAACTTTCAACACGGCAATATTTTCATCCTCATCACCTGGATAGTTGGCGCTCCACTTCTTTGCGCTTTTTGAGACACTTTTTGCTCCGTCCAACCAATCTGTTATCGAACGGGTTATCGTCTGCTGTATTTCCGGACCGATACGACCTTGAAACCTTCAAGAAAAGAGCATACTCCTTCCTAAAAGGCCGGCAACGCGTTTGTGACTCCTGAGTTGCAGACGTTCATGGTCACTTTTAATCAGGTGACCCATCTGTTCGTCTGCCTAATCTAACATAAAAAGAAAACAAGTTACAAAAATGTATCAAACAATATCTTACCTACAGTCAACAGAGCTCCAACAGTTTCAAGCAAAAGAAATATATCCGATTGAAATTCCTGATGTCGATGTTTAATCATCAAGTTGCCTGCTATTGAACCTCTCTGAAAATGTATTAGATATCCATGAGAATATATTTCAAAGAGACACAAATTTTTATGACGCAGTCGTCAAATGCTCCGTGTGGTGATTAAGAATACAGAGTGTCATCACCCCTATTCATCCCGTGGGTGTCGTAAGAGGCGACTAAGGGAGCAAACTACGCAGGACAACAGCACTGCAGAGAGAAGGAAAACTTAGATGACTTAGAAGACTTAGAAACCTGGCGATAGAATTTCAACTATAATCATCTATTCTATTTTCATTATTTAGCTTCATTTTATTTTATCCACATGTTCCGTGAGGTGACGGATTAAGAATACGAAGTGTCACCACCAGTGTCGTAAGAATCGTCTAAGGGAGCACACTACGGAGGACAACAGCACTGCAAAGAGAAGGAAAGCTTGACACAAACCCTATACCAACCCGTCTGGCCAGCGTGGTATAGGAGGCCAGAACCTCCTTTCTAAGGAGAGGCCTATGTCCAGCAGTGGACTAGTAAAGGTATTTTTTGTTGTTGTTGATGATGATGATGATGAGTCGTCAAATGGGGAGACGGGTCACCGGATGGAAAGTGACTGGACAAATGCAACTAAAGAATCATTAGTGCGTTACCGCCTTTTGAGATTGAAATACGCTTTTTTTAGGGTTTGTGAATCGTGTTAGTCTGAAAATACTAAAGTTACTTACATTTCTCACGGCAATGTGAGCAACTAATTTAATGTGATCATTTAATATTTTTAAATAACTGAAATATTCTTCCTTGGAGATGTCTTCAAATTTTTCTAACACTTCAGTCAAGGTATTGCCTGCGCCTAGGATCAGGTTTTGGTCAAGTATGTGATTTTTTAGTTCATGTACATCGCTTATATCAATTAAAACTCGAGGATTATCAAACACATCGTCATTTGGATAAACTCCTATAAAGAAACATAATTTAAATAAAAACGGCGCTTTTTGGTAGACGTTTGCTATACAATAACTATAATTTATATTAGTGTCGGAAATAAGTCTTGTTAGATATTTTTCGGTCTCGCTCCCATCCGCTCAGAGCGCTGTAACGCGCGGTAACGAACTTCTTTCCAATTAGATGTCCATTGACATTTAAATATGCAGTTTAGCTTCACTTTAGTTTTAAAATTTAGAATGAGTTTTGTATTTAATCGTATATAAATATAATAGGTATACATTACCTTTGGATGTATTTCCACAGATTAGCTTATATGAATCACAACCTTCTTTATTTAATACGGAGAAAATATCATACACCGTAGTAGCTCGATAAAATGTCTTTCCATCTTTTAAATTTATTTTAAGAATTTCATTGTTAAAATCTTTTACAGATAGTATACACCAATCATTATTTTCATTCTCACATAGTTTATCACAAGATTTACAATTTTGCTTCCAATTTGTCAAATCTTCTATATCAGTGACTGTAATTTTATCAGGAGCATCTGTGGCAAACCTTTTCAAAGCACTCAGTATGGATCTGTAGCCGGTACATCTGCATATGTTGCTTGCTAATGACTGTTCTATTTCTAGCATTGTAAGGTTCTTTTTGCTCTGAAGCAGGCTGAAAAGTTACTTTTATTAGTTATTTAGTTGATGTTTCCATCAGTATCAAATTATGTAGTAGATATACCTGTACATTGACATAATCCATCCAGGAGAGCAGTATCCGCATTGGGAGCCATTGTATTTGGCAAGTGTTTCTTGTGTTGGATGATAACCTTTATTTCTATTACCTACTTCTTCTATTGTCGTTATCTCCAATCCATGGCATGCGATAATCGGTAAAATACACTGTGACAAAATAGTAAAATATAAATATATTATTAAATAATCTCTGTTTTTTTATGTTAGACCTGGCAGGCGAGCAGACGAGTCACCTGATGGAAAGTGACCATTCCCGCCCATGAACGTCTGCAACTCAGGAGTCAGCCTTTTAGGAAAGAGTACGCTCTTTTCTTGAAGGTTTGAAGGTCGTATCGGTCTGGAAATACCGCAGCCGATAACCCGTTAAACAGATTGGTTGTGTCTCGAAAAGCGCACAGTATTGGAGCGCCAACTATCCAGATGATGAGGATGAAAATTTTGCAGTGTGGGACGATGGCGGAAAGTTGCGGCTGGTATTAGTCCAAACAATTCCTCGGAGCACTCTGCATGATATATGCAGTAGAGATTGCAGAGTGAAGCCACATCTCTACGTAACGCCAAGGAATCTAGCCGATCGTAGATGTTTGGGCTATCGACGATTCGAGTCGCTCTTCGTTGGATGCGGTCCAGAGGGAGAAGCTGGTACTGAGGTGCCCCTGCATAGAGATGAGAACAGTATTCCACATGCAGCCGGACTTGCGCCTTATAGAGCTGAAGGCGGTGGGCCGGAGTGAATATCTGTTCAGCACACCTAGCTTCTTCGAGGCCAATTTGACCTTACCCCATAAGTGACCCAAAAACTGGACTTCGCTCGATATGTCGATGCCTAGGATTCCGATGCTGGCTGAGGCAGTTAGGGAGATCCTCTCAAACCGAGGTGATACGACAAATGGTATATTCTTTGCGGTAAACGCACAGACCCGTGACTTTTGTGACAAATCTCCGTTACAAAGCAGTATTTTTGGTGAATTTATGTTTGTGCATGACCCTTTTTATAACAGTATCGGGTTACATTTTTTATCATATACTTCCATAGTTCTTAACTATGGAAATGTAAGCTTCGAAATTAATTCCAAGTTTAAATTATACATTTGGAAAATTCCCTGCAGCTTATATTGATATACGAGGCAATGACGCCGTGCTGTGTCACATTATCGTTACATTGATAAGAAATAAGATGCTATTATTGAAATGATGTAAAAATGTATATCGTGTCAAAATTTCAGCTCAATCGGTGCAGAACTTTTTGAGTTTTTGAAGCGTATACAAACCAACTCAACAATTAACAGATGGCATAAATAAATATTGCATGTTACCGAATTAATTGCGTAAGGTTGACTGTTCGGTCTTCGAGCGCTGACGATGCACGCCCCGCAACCTGCCTGCCGACACAAGTATTTCGTACCACGCAACTCCAGCTTCTCACGGACATAGTCCAAGAGCGTCACGCACGAGCTAACTTCATTGCCGACTGAAATTAAAAATATATATTTTTTTAATAAGTAAGGACTAACAAAAGAAACTATTTTTAAGTTGAAAAGAATTTGAAGTTTGAAGGCGCGTTGGACATTTTCTAACAACGAACATCAGAATGTACTTTTTGAGATGGGACAAAATCATTGAACTCGCGTCACTGTTACCGACACCTCTGTATATATGTATTTGGCCCCGTTTACACGAGAGTTGAGTTTGGGTTGAAATACATTAATAATATAAATATATATAATATAAACTTATATTGTGTATATACGGACTACACAGATATTTATTCATGTCGGAAATTTTGATATCGAAAAATAAACATTCCTGTTATAACCAACAAAAAAAAATAATTGAAATTTTCGCTTCTGTCGGAGTGCCACTCTTTTTTTTAAAGACAACTCCCGGACTAGGAATATATTTTGTGTCGTTGAGGACTTTACAAACATACTTGAAACGAATACAAAGATCAGAACAACAACAGCCATGCACAGCATCAAGATTGTGTGTTAGACCAGATCAAACTAGAACCACTATTTGTACCACCACGGTTCTTATTTCCAGGATTATTTTCCACTGTTTGACCTGACACCTAGACAAAGAGCCTTGTGAACAGATTATTTATACTCTTGATTGTCGGCACTTGGTGGGACTTGTTGAAATACTTTATGGAATCAAACACCCGTAAGTAATTATATTCCACTATTTAATTTAATTTGACCTAACTGGTTTCGCCTTATGGGATTATCAAACCATTGATAATGCCATGAGGCGAAACCGGCAAGTGAGTTTGTGTTTACATCACATCACATCATATCAACAGCCTTTAATAGTCTACTGCTGGATATAGGCCTCTCCTTAGAAAGGAGGTTTTAGCCTACTATACCGCGCTGGCCAGACGGGTTGGTATAGAGTTTGTGTCAAGTTTTCCTTCTTTTTGCGGTGCTGGTATCCTGCGCCCTTAGTCGGCTCTTACGACACCCACGGGATGAATTGGGGTAGTGACATTCCGTATTCCAAATCCGTCACTACACGGAGTTTGTGTTCATTTCGGACTAATGTCATCAGAGATCTGGGCGTCACATTTGATACTAAGTTACTTTTTGATTCTCACTTTGAAAACATATACATCACAGGTAGAGCCTCGAAAGTCCTTATTTTTGGTATTAATTCTTATTTTAATTTAAAATCCTTTGCTGCGCGTTTGTTCGCAGCCATTTAGAATTTATGTCTCAGATCTGGGACCCCAACTATAACACATACATAGATAGAATCGAGCGTATACATAAGCGGTTTTTTGCGATTTTCACAATATAAAACTCATTATTACACACCTAGTCATACTGGCCGATGTAAAAACTTTCACATTCTACCGCTGTATGAGCGTAGACATAGTTTAGACTAGTTTAGTTTAGACTCTCTCATGTTGAATGAACTGAAAGGTGACAAGGAATTAGGACGGCTCCTTGTCAAGACCGTTTTCCTCTACAGCTACGGACCCCCTAAACGTAGCGTAGACATATTCCAGATATAGCATACTTATCTAAGATCGCTAATGTTTCAATGGAGTGCCCAGAATTGGGATTAGTATTAGTTAGTAGATTTGGATGAGTAACACATCATACAATTCTGCGCAATCCTAGTCTTCTGTATGTTCTTTGCGTTGCGTATGTACTCTATATATAGACAAAATTCATTTTTAATACGCGAGAGTAGACAATACAGTAAAATTTCGTCTCAATATGACGACTTATATAATACCGGTATTTCTGAACTTAAAACTATTTTAGATAGGAAAGAATTGACTACAATTGCTGTTGTTGTTGTGTTTACTGACTTCCAATTTGATGCTCCACATGTATTTCTGATAGCGGTTATTTGTAAATGGCTATCAGATGTTGGACATTTAGCTATAAATAACCCAGACAGAGAAAATCACAGTTATTTATTTATTTAGCAGTTTTTTACGTCGTTCTGTCGGTAAATACAATTTTTTATTTTACCGCAAGAATAGAGAATCATCTCTGTGTAAAGAGCTCTAGGGGACTTCGTTACTAAATAAAAAAAAACTTACCTGAACATTCGACTCCATTCACTTTAAAAGTAACTTGATCCATTATACTGTCGACTAACCAGTAGAAACAAACTTACTATACTGATTATAAACGGCCATCAATGTGATTTAAATTAACCACTTCCCCAATATAACAAAAATACATTTAAAAAAAATGATTAAAATAAAGTGAAATAAGGTTAATTGCTTCCTTCTTTTATATAATTCGTCACGTTTAATTGACGTGTCAGGTCTGTTGGTCTAATGGGTACTGATCCTGACTGCTGTGCCAGATTGTGGATTCAGTTCACACCCAGGATAGTCAATTGTGTAATCAGCTGGGTTGTATGTTGTGTATTTGGGTGTAATTTATCTTTATTATGTATGTATTTAGTAATATGCTAGTATGTGAGTGCGCAATAGAGTAGGCTCTACCTAGTTTCGGATTAGAATGCCGTGTGTGTTATCTGAAGTTATATTAAAAATGGTGAAATATAGGTAAACAAATACTAGCGTACAGTTGGCGACAAAAATGTCTTTAGCTTTCGTCTTTTTAAAAAGTGATTTAAAATTTAAAATCGAAACGATACCAATAAAAAAATCGATCTTTAAAAGCGTCAATACTAACCTAAAAGCTTTTTCTTTATTAATTTTAATCCATCAAATTATAGTACATGTAATGTAGAGTAATATCTTATTAGCTATAAGTATACGATCATCATCATCATCATCAACAGCCTCTAATAGTCCACTGCTGGACATAGACCTCTCCTTAGAAAGGAGGTTTTTGCCTACTATACCACGCTGGCCAGATGGGTTTGTATATGGTTTGTGTCAAGTTTTTCTTCTCTTTGCAGTGCTGTTGTCGTGTATAGTTTGCTCCCTTAGTCTGCTCTTACGACACCCACGGGATGATGACACTCCGTATTCTTAATCCGTCATCACACGTATACGAAATGTGTAAATTCGCTAGTAGCTTAAATGAAAATCTGAGAGTTTAATTTGTATGTAGGTGTGGTAACGTAAGGAGTGACGTCATTCAGCAGCGTCTATTTGCGGAAAAAGACATTTATTTAATTATTGACATTCGGCGAGGCCGTGTCACTAGCGGCGGCATTAGAGGCAGGGGAAAGGGATGCGGCACTGGTGGAAGGACCTGGACGGGAAGCGGAGTCAAGGGAGGCGGACGTGGTTCACGTCATTGCTTCGAGCTCAGCGGCATTGGTGCGACGCGCTCGTCGCACGGAGGATGGGCTATGAAGAGGCCGACTTACACAGCGTCACGAGGACAAGAGGAGTGGCGTGAGTTGTGAAGCCTGTGGGAATCGCAATCATGACTACTCGCAGTGCCGGTTCCGTAATTATGTGTGTAGCAACGGAGCACGAACCATTCGATTACACAAACCTCATAATCAGTCGAAGATGGGAATCTCTTTCCCGGTGACCTAGTACTTGTTTCAAGAGCCGAGATACCTGGAAACCGAAAGCGCCACCTACACGACGCACATGGACGTTGACCCTGTCACATTAATTCACACTTTTTGTTTTTGTCTGTGTCAGATGGTAAGTTAAGATCATTTGAGAGCTTATGTAGGGATTTACGCACTGCTACAGAAAATCAGCTAAAGATACAATATTTGAGATAATACAACTCAAGTGATAAACTGTAAAAGAAGTGTCAGCGTCTTCAAGGGACCTTCACCTAGTTTCGCATTGACGGCCGTGTGTTATCTCAAGTTATATTAAAAGTGTATAGTTAAAATACTAGCGTACAGTTGGCGACAAAAATATCTTTAGCTTCAGTCTTTTGGAAAGTTATTTAAATTAAAAAAATAACTTTCTTACTTTAAGAGCGTCAATCCCTAACCTAAAAGATTCTTCTTTATTAATTTTAATTCATCAAATTATAGTATATTCCACTACTAACGTTCCGCCTCGGCTTCGCACGGGTGCAATGTAGATACTACTTATACTACCAATGTGGGTATAATTAATTACTATTAATTATACTATTATTGTGATCGGACTACACTACAGGACATCTTTAAATGCAATATTTATAGGCGCGCTCCGATCCTACCGGCAGCTGCCAGCCGGGACGAACGTACGCCTTAACGGTCGTTGGGCCCCCGCATTTTAAACCCCTAATATCTTCTAAAATATTCCTTTTAATAATATGCTGTAAAAATGAAATTTTAATCTACATTAAATGCATAACGTATTTCATTGGATAAGGAGTTATAATGTTTTGTTTAGAATAGCTTTGTAAATAATCCATTATTTTTTTGTAATATTTAAAAGAAATTAATGGTTACTGTGGTTGGACATAATATGTAAATAAATTAATGTTGATTTAACCGTAAAACATATACACATAGGTTGTGGTCGCTAAATGTTTTTGTTTTTTATTCTTTTTTTTTATATTAGAGGGGGCAGACGAGCAGACGGGTCACCTGATGGAAAGTGACAATCGCCGCCTATGAACGTCTGCAACTCAGGAGTAACAAATGCGTTGCCGGCCTTCCAGACAGGAGTACTCTCTTTTCTTGAAGGTCGTATTGGTCCGGAAATACCGCAGACGATAACCCGATCCACAGATTGCTTGTGCGAGGCAAAAAGTGTCTCGGAAAGCAATACCACTGAAGACTGCTGTAATTTTACCTTGTAAACCATTACTGCTCAAATCAGTTATTTGTTATGTTTTTTGTTGTTTACTGTATAAGTCGTATATATGTGTTACGTACAAGTGTACAACTTACAAATTTAAACGATAAGGAGGTAAACACAATTAAAGCGATTTAATTAGACTAGGTGAATCAATTGGAAATTGCCACGGCTATAAAATACATACATCATCAAACCAACAAAAATGTCACATAATTCACATTAATTGATGCATAAAATATAAGCTTACAGTATATACAACCAAATGGTTTATATCTATCCATACTAATGTTATAAATGTAAAAGTGTGTCCGTCGGTCTGTCTTTCTGTCTGTCTGTCTTTCTGTCTGTCTGTCTGTTACCTGTTCATGCTCATACGGAGATACTTTGATTCTTGAGGAAAGCCATAGGGTACTTTTTACCGCGATATCATTTACGCGTGCGGCACCACGGGCAAAAGTTAGTACTAAATATACAAAATAAAATACACTAAGACGTAATGTCCGTGTAGTGACGGATTAATAATACGGAATGTCACTACCCCAATTCATCCCGTGGGTGTCGTAAAAGCCGACTAAGGGCGAAAAACAACGCAGGACACCAGCATTGCAAAAAGACGGCAAACTTGACACAAGCCCTATACCAACCCGTCTGGCCAGCGTGGTATAGTAGGCCAAAACCTCCTTTCTAAGGAGAGGCCTATGTCCAACAGTGGACTAGTAAAGGCTGTTGATTAAGACGTAAAATCAACAATATAATGAGTCTTGCAAATCACAATTTAATAAAATATTAAATCGTCACATTGGTATGTACGTCCTGGAAGCAGCTTGTAATGTAACTTTGACAGTTGTATTGGTCTATTAGCGATCCTGACTGCTAAACCTGAGGTCGTGGCTTCCATTCTCACATACCACAAATATTGTGTCACAATTTATCTGTTATTTGTTTAACTGCACGGATGGCGTAATGGTTTAAGCGGTCGCCATGCCGTTTGCCACGCTGAGTGTTGTGGGTCCGATCCCCACATGGGACGACACTTTGTGTGATCCACAAATTGTTGTTCTGAGTCTGGGTGTTCTTTGTGCCCGTTTCATGTATGTTTGTAAAGTTCCCCGCGACACAAGATATATTCCTATGCGAGAGTTGTCTGTGTCGGATGTTAAGTTAAGGTCAATTGAGAGCTTCTGTAGAGATTTACGCATTGCTACAGAAAATTAGCCGAGGATACAATATTTGAGTAACTCAACTGATTAACTGTTAAAAAAAAAAAAGTGTCAGCGACTTCAATGGACCTCCATCATAGTAATGTCATTTTTTTTACTTTATATTAGGGGTCGTGTTTTTCTTCAAATTTAAATGGGAATGAACGGAAAGTATATTCTCTCAAAAAAAAAAGTATGTTTTAACCAAGATTACTTAAGATGTATTTCCTCAAAAGAGTAAACAGAGCCTTATTTTACATATTATTAAAAATAAAAAGGAGGGCAAGGTCAAGAAAATTTGGAAGTAAAGGGAAAGGAAGGTTACGACCACTCGAGCTTAAGGTGGCATACTTATAACTCAAACACATTGTTGCTGAAAAAGCCCAGCCTTCTAAATGAATAAAGAAAAAAATGTGTCTATAAAAATGCGCTATATAAATAGTTGTTATTATAGATTACTTACCTACTTTGATCTAATTTCAAAGCACGTGATATCATTCGCTGCATTGCACTTAACCAATGTGATGTTGCACATACTACCAAACCTTCTTCAATAGGTTTAGTAATACAAAGGTACCAGATTTTCTATTGAGAAGTGCTTCTGTCCGTATGTAGTATTACCTCCTATTATAACTTTGTTTACATCAGTCCCCTTATCCTTGGGATCATCTCTTTTTATAAGGTATTCCTCTTAGAATCTGTTTTGGCTTCTTTTATATCAATAACAGGCTTCAAAACGTCTGCATATTGAATTTTGACTGATTTGGTTGCTTTGTTTGCTGTGTCTTGAGTAGTAGCAACAACAATTGCTACGGGTTGATTAAAATACTTTGCTATGCCACTGTAAAATCCTTCTTCATTCAGACTAAACATGATATCAACACTAGTTGACCAGACCTTGCACCATTAACGACTATTATTTTTCCAAAATTTAGACTACTTTTTAGTGGGTAAAAAATTCAATTCCCGAGAGGCAGTACAAAATGCCTTTGAAGAGTTTGTTGCCTCCCGTCCAGCTGATTTTTACAAGAAGGGCATCAATAAACTGCCAATGCGTTGGCAAAGATGCGTCGATTGCATGGGTGATTACTTCGAATAACAGAAATAAAAAAGTTTGAAAAAAGAAGTATTTTCACTTATTGCATACAAAACGGCAATTTCATAGGTAAAGACCTATTACTATATGAAAACAATACTG